TGAGACGGAAATCAGACCGTCTCTTAAGACGGCCTTCAGACCATCTGTAGAGCCGACCTCCAGACCGTCCATAAAGACGGTCTATGAGTAGCAGTCCTTTAAGTGGTTATTTTTCTTTTTTTTATCGTAAATTCCAAAACTTATGAGCAAAAGAACCTCTTTACGGTTAAAATACAAAGTTCATAAAAAAATTACATACCCATCTCTCGATTTCTTTGTTGAGCTTCCCAACGATTACGTTTCACAATTGCACAATACTTAAAACAAAAAAAATAATAACTTTTTTGAACAAATTCGAATTTGCACCATTCACAAATAGCTACCCTTATAAATATGCACAACATTGGCAATATTAGAAACATCATGAAGAACACAATGAAATATGTACCGCTGTCCATCATTTTGAAATCGTTTCGGATTTTTTTGGTTTTTTTTTTTTCGCTATGATTCACAATTACGTCTCAATTATTTGTTGAATTTAGTTCGTCTATCGAATTGTACCCAAGTATAACTGAAATAAGTTCGATTTGTTTCGCGTCCTCTCTTTCAGAGGGTGTTCGTATTTTGTCACTGAGTGGTTTCAAAAAAGGCATGGCAAGACATTAAAACAGTATTAATTGCAGATAAGATTATAGATTAGGTGGCGGGTGGAGATATTTTATGGAACTTCCCGCTAAGAGTTATTGAAGTTGAATTTATTTTATTTTTCACTGAAAGGGGGGGATTTTTTAATTTAAAAACTGTTTTTTTTTTTTTTTGATTTTGGAAATATTTTCGAAGGAAAGTACCTACAGATTTCCACTTTTATTTCAGGTATAAAATATTTCTGCAAGAGGGGCTTTTTTAAAGCATACTTTGAGGCTTTATGATACCTTTATTTAAGATAAACCCCATAGCACTTATTTAAGCAACTAATTGAAAAATGCTCGTGCATATGTGTGTAACCATCACATCTCGTGATGAAATTCTTGCCGATCGCGTGCAACTTTTTCAGAACTGATTATTCTAACGTACAACGATCTTACCAGAATTCTAAGCAATAATAAAGCGTTGGAAATAGTTTCACTTTTATTAAAACGAACGTAGATTTTTCTTGAAAATAATCAATACAAAAGATAAAACGTTATAAAATCATTCTAAATTTAGTTTCAAATTTTAGATTCGTAATTTAGAAACAAAGAGTAATTGAAAATGCCTCCGCTCAATTTTGTTTTGAACCCAAATTATGAATAACATTTTAAATAAATTTTAATAACCTCCAACACGAGATAACGAAAACCTTTAAAGAAAGAATCGGGATTGAACATTGGGTCCACTCAACCACCCAAATGTTAAGAACATATACACCAAAAGAAGCTAAAAAGTATCAGTCTGTTTTGCCGTCAGGTATATATACATATACCCCCAGCCAATGTTCGATTAATTAAATTTATTTTGACTTCAGGTATGATTATTTAAAATGTTGACCCTCAATGGAGCAGGTTGCGAAGGGATGGGCCAATATTGTCCATTGTATATTGTATTTCTTGTCGGATCTAAGTATATACAGGGTGATTTGAAAAAATTGTAACCAACTTCAGACTGCTGTCATTTCTAAGCCACTCGTCCGACAGCTGCTAAAATTATTCCAGTTACAGGCCATTATATTGTGTACAAGCGTACAAAAGCATTTTGGCGAGAATTTTCCCGAAAAACACTTATTCGTGATGGAATTCAAGCGTGATAGTGTGATTTCTTTATATTTGGATGGAAAACCAAAAAAGTGGCTATCGTTAGAGCACTCCAGCATTTAAATGTGAATAAATCTTCCGGTAGCGTAGACCGTCGTCAAGGAAGTGGACGGAAGAAAACGGCAAATCAGCAGAAATGGTTCGAAAAGTAAAGAAGCGACTTGATCGAAACGCGGCCCAGTGGCCGAAAAATGGGTTGTGAGCTGAACATATGGCAATATTCCATTCGGCAAATATTGAAAAATGAGCTCGGGGTAAAGACATTGAAATTTCAAGAAGTGCAAGAACTTACACCGCAAAATAGACTCAAAGGAGCTAAAGAGTTATTTAGCTTGGCCGAAAGTGCTGAACTGCCAAATTTGGTTTTCTCCGTCTCCGATGAGAAAACATTCGTTGTCCAGCAGTTTGTAAAAAAAACAAAATGATCGTGTTTACTTGCCAAAGAGGTCAGCTGCGCGAACTCAAGCGCCGTCCATGGTGATGATGTGGGCCGCCACAACAGCCGATGGTCGCTTTCCGCTCGTATTAATCGACCGTGACATCAGAATAAATGCCGAATATTATCGCGAAAATATTCTGGAGGGTGTATTAAAGCCTTGGACACGCAAACATTTTGGTCACAGACCTTGGAAACTTATTCTAAAACTTGATGCTATTTCCGACATTTTTTGCCTTCATTTAATAAAATTAAACAAGTAAAAAAGCAGTAAGTTCGGCCGGGCCGAACTTTGAATACCCTCCACTATTTGGAACGAATTAAAAAAAATTAAAAAAAAAAAATAAAATCGATTAAAATTTTTTTTAAAATCTTTAAAATATCTAATAAAGGAAAGTGCCGATATATGGGGGGATATACGATATTGTGGACCGTTATATGGGTGCTATACGATATCGTGGACCGATATAGATAATTCTCTTCCGAGGTATAAACTACCCATAAAGAACTTCTTGTATGGATTTTCAGACAATTCCGTTGAAAAATCTGGGTAAAATCATCAAAATGCCGAATACCGGGGGGTACCGTTATATGGAGGCTATACGATATTGTGGACCTATATAGATAATTCTCTGCCGAGGTATAAAGTACCCACAAGGAACTCCTTGTGTGGATTTTCAGACAATTCCGTTGAAAAATGTAGGTAAAATCGTCAAAAAGCCGAATACCGTGGGGGTACCGTTATATGGGGACTATACGATATTGTGGACCTATAAAGACAAATCTATGTCTGGGTGTAAAACACTCACAAGGAACTCCTTGTGTGGATTTTCAGATAATTCCATTGAAAAAGTGGCTAAAATCATCAAAATACCGAATATCGGGGGTAACGTTATATGGGTGCTATATGATATCGTGGACCGATATAGATAATTCTTTTCCGAGGTATAAAGTACCCATAAAGAACTTCTTGTACGGATTTTCAGACAATTCCATTGAAAAATGTGGCTAACATTATCAAAATACCGAATATCGGGGGTATCGTTATATGGGGGCTATACGATTTCGTGGACCGATATAGTCCATCTTCGAACTTGACCTGCCTGCAGACAAAAGAGAAATCTGTGCAAAATTTTAGCTTCCTATCTTAATTCGTTTAGACTGTAGCGTGATTACAACAGACGGACAGACGGACGGACAGGGCTAAATCGTCTTAGAATTTTACGCTGATCAAGAATATAACGAAAAATGTATACCCTCCATACTTTTTTGGTGGAGGGTATAAAAAAAAAATAAAACTTATGGCGCTTGACTTTGCTGCAGTTTTTTTATCTTACCCTGTAGACGCTCTGTAGCCATTCGGCTGAGGGTAAAACAAGTTAAAAAGCCTAAGTCAGTTTATTTAAATATATTTTGATTTATGTTATGTTTATTCAAAATATTGAAATTTAAGGAAGAGATACGGAAGGAGTGGACCAATATTATCCACTTCTCATTATATCCTCAGCCATATGGCTACGGAGGGTATATATCATTTGAAACGGCCTAAACGTGCCTCATCGAAATAGCGGTTTTAGACCCTAGGTCTCTTTGGACCAAATTCGTTTCAGGATATTTGAAGTCGATCGTCCGTCCGTCCGTCTGTCTGGCTGGCTGGTGCGCACGATAACTCTCAAAGGGAGTTTCCGATTTGGCCCAAACTTGGTACATTATTTTCAAACTTAAATCAAGTTCGGAGGTGGACAATGTCTTTCAAAAGTTCGTTTTTTCAAAGAAAATACTTGAAAGAGAAAGGATAATCCGATGTTGCTCCAACTTAGCAAATCCCAATATTTGTATCAGTTCTAGGTCATGTGCTAAAATGAGCAAAATCGGTCCACTCCATCAAGTACCTCACCCACAAAGGGTCAACATTTTGAAATTATAACCCGAGTTCTGGTGCGAAGATGGAATATATCAGTCCACTTATAATTTTGACCCACTGTGACGGAGGTACCAGAAGAAGTGGCCCGTTCATAACAAATTTCATAACAATTTTTTACCGGTTCTAGCAGAGGTAGTGGACCAATCTATCCCATCCTTACAACAGATTTTCTATAAGTAAAAATATTGGAATGTATGAGGTTTCGAAAGGATCGAATGCTTATTTGAAGTTTTATGGGTGTTTTGATTATTCAAAATTTTGATAATTTGTGGGGGAGGTACTAGAACGATTGGTCCGGTAGAAGTATTAATGTGTGCAAAATTTGAAGACAAACGGAATCCCATTTTATAAACGTCACAATTATTCAAAAGTTTGCCCCTTTGTGGGGGAGGTACCAAAAGGAGTTGACCGATATATTCCATCTTCACACCAGACGTTGGGTTAATAAAAATATTGTGATGTGTTTAACTTGAAAGCAATCGGACTCTTACATCACATTTTATAAGAGTTATGTTTATTTAAAATGTGGATCCTTTGTGGGGGAGGTACTTGATGGAGTGGACCGATATTGTCCATTTTCACACCTGACCTAGCATTGATGGAAATATAAGGATTTGCAAAGTGAGGACGGACAGACACGCCTAGATTGACTCCAAAAGTCCTAACACGGATTTGGTCCAAAGAGACTTAGGGTCTAACTTTATTTCAGTTAGGCAAGTTTTGGTGGTATCAAATGATATATAACCTCTGTATCCGTATGGCTGAGGGTATAAAAATATAGCCTCAGTCAATGAGGCCGCAAAATTTATTTTTCCACAAAAAAAGTCCAAATTGTCAATATTGCCATGTCTCTCAACATGTTGGGAGAGAATGCTGGTTTTACACACACATACATACACACAACACTCACCTGCAGCTGTTGCCGATGATGTTGGTGGTGGTGCTGGGGGATCTATGCGTATTCGCTGGACAACACGACGCCTTACCGGTCCACCGGGAGGATTTTCATTCGACGGAATATTACACAGGGCGGTGCAACAAACCTAATATATAAATTATTGAAAAAAAAAAATTGTCGATACTAATTTTTGCTCACACTCATTTTTTTTTGTACCACTCAACTTACACGAATTATGACAAAGGCGGATATAATTATCAACATCCATATCAGATACGTTCCGAAATCGTCCATATTGTGAAATTAATATTAGTTAATTGTAACACTTGTGAAATAGTTTGAATGATTTCGAAGTGAGATTTTTAATTTTATTTATTATTATTTTTTTTTTGTTTTTTGATATTTAATATTGCTTTTTTTTTGTTGGTGGAGGTATCGCCAAATTCTGATGACTGTTTGGTGGCAAATTGTTTTCTATTTCCCTTGACCGTAGTTAAAATTGTTTCGGTAAAACAAAAAAATAAAAAACGAACAGAAATTCTAAAAAAGAGGCAATAAACAATAACTGCGATGTGGAAGGAAAACAACTTAACAAAAAAAGCCCAAGAAAGGTGAATACGCACTGAAGCCAAAGATAGATAAACTTTATCGAATGGTAGGCGAAATAAAATCCGCATACGGCATGGATGAATTGTTTGGGTGCCCTACTTGTGGCAGAGGAGTTATGAGACTGGTTTTTTATATTTTTTTTATTAAATTATTATCTACTACCTATAATAAATAAATAAATAAAATATTTATGATAAATAAATAATAAATTATTAATAATTATTAAATTAATAATTATAATTCTTAATAAAAATTATTAAAATAATAATTGAAAGTAAATAATTAATGTTGCAAAATCATCAGGCAAAATCCCATTATTGTTGTTTTTATAAAAACAACGTTTGTTTATGAGTGGAGAACGATGGTAATGTTTACCAGGGGGTAAGGCAGGGAATACCTAGGTTTCGGAAAGAGCCACCAATCCTCATCAGTTCCCTTGTTTCTTGTCTGGGATATCCTCCCCAGAAGTTATTTAAAAAACAAATAACTTCTATGACAAAAAACATTTTTTACCCAAGTGACGAGATCGTAAGCTCAATAGAAGAGGAACAAAAGAATTACATAAAACTAAAATTCTTTTGGAAAATCTTCTAAATCTTACAACCGCACTTATAAACATTTACATCTTTCTCCACTTGTTATGCTTTCGTTCAACCTGAACGAAGTAACTAATTAATAATAAATAATTAATAATAATTTAGAAATGATTAATTAGAAAGTAAACTGACAAAAGTAGGGACAATTTCCCCGTCTTCCACACTTTTGGAAATGCTCGAATTAAGATTCATCGGAAAATGCACGAATTTTAGGTATATCATGTCTTTGGCAATATTTCAGATAACAATACGGGGAAATATTTGGATTGGTATTTTCATACCTCAAGCGAATTAAGAAACGGGTATTTGTTGTCCTTTTTTTAAATAATGGCTCAAAACTTACTTTGAGCCAGATCGTAACAAGTCAAATATTCTACAAAATTATTTGTCGTAAAATAATCGTATATAAAGTCAAAAGTATAAATCTTACATAAAGGCCAAAAATGTAAATATATACCAAAAACACATTTTAGGGTTAAAATCGTACTTTGCGCGAGTTTATGACAAAATTTCCAATAAAACATCAAAAACAAAAAAATCCAAAAACTACCACTTAAATAAAAACCGTTATATGGGGGCTATACGAAGACGTGGACCTGCATACAAAAATATTTGTCATAGGCTGTAGTACTCATTCCGAACTTTAAACACGAAATTCGAAATAATTCCGGTAAATAATGTCGCTAAAATCAGGAAAATACCGATTATCGGGAGGTACCGTTATATGGGGGTTATACAAAGATCTGAATCTGCATACAAAATGTTTTGCCAAAGGTTGTAGTACCCATTAGGATCTTCCAGTACGAAATTTGAAACAATTCTGGTGAATAATGTTGATGAAATCATCAAAATACCTTATGCAGGTCCCCGTCTTCGTATAGCCCCCGTATAAAGCTCATCATTTAAAGGGTCGTTTTCGAGATTTCTTGACATTTTTCAAGATCCTTCCAAATGGTGGAGGGTATTAAAAGTTCGGCCCGGCCGAACTTAGCTGCTTTTTTACTTGTTCATATTTATGAAATTCTGGCCTTTACAGGGTGAGATAAAAAACTGCAACAAAGTCAAATGCTATAATTTATATATTTTTTTTTAAAATTTTATTTGCGGTATCTTGGCCAATTCCCGGCGAAGCGCTTGCGTAAGGTGATCGACACTTTGGTATTTTTAGTGCCAACCTTGCTTCCCATTGTGCGTTGGAAATGAAGCGAGGAACCTCATTTTGTTACCATTCTTAGGTGGCGCGTGTTGAGTGCGATGGTGCTGAGTCCTGAGGGAATGTCCAAGGTCTGCAGACAAAATGTTTGCGTGCCCAAGGCTTTAATACATCCTCCAGAATATTTTCGCGATAATATTCGGCATTTATTCTGATGCCATGGTCGATTAATATGAGCGGAGAGCGACCATCAGCTGTTATGGTGGCCCACACCCACCCACCATGGCCGGCGCTTGAGTTTTGAGTTCTGGTGGCCAACCGAAGGTGCACATTTTAGCTGACCTCTTTGGCAAGTAAACGCGATCGTTTTGTTTGGAGAAATCTATGAGAACGAAAAAAAATCGACAGTTCAGCACTTTCGGCCAAGCGAAGCAACTCTTTAGCTCTTTTGAACCTATTTTTTTATACCCTACACCACAAGGTGGTCAGGGTATTATGTCTTTGTGCATTTGTTTGTAACAGGCAGAAGGAAACGAGATAGACCCATAGTTCCTTTTGATGATCTGCATAGAATCACATTCTGAGTCGATTTATGCATGTCCGTCCGTCCGTCTGTCCGTCCGTCTGTCCGTCTGTCCATGTATTTTTGTAAACAAAGTACACGTCGCATTTATTGCCCGATCCAGATGAAATTTTGCAAAGATGTTTTGTTTGACCCAAGGACGAACCCTATTGAAATTGGAGATAATCGGTCAAAATTTAGATGTAGCTCCCATATATATCTTCGTCCGAGTTGCCTTTTATTGCGCACCAAAAGTGTAATATCAGCCCGAATTGTATAGAATTTTGCATATACACCCAAATTAGGCCTGAAAATATGTATGCCAAATTTGATCGAAATCGGTTCAGATATAGCTATAGCTCCCATATATATTGTTCATCCGATTTGTTATTTTTGTCCACCGCCGCCGTAATATGCACTATGCAACAACAATATTTTGGGAAATATATCAAATACAGCTCAGAAATACATTTGCTAAATTTTATCGAGATCGGTTCAGATTTGGATATAGCTCCCATATATAACTTCGTCCGATTTACCTTTTATTGTGCACCAAACGTCTAATATTTGTCCAAATGGGATGGAATTTGGCACTTACGATCGAATTGAGTCTAGAAGCTAGTATGTCAAATTTGGTGAAGATCGGTTCAGATATAGCTATAGCTTCCATATATATTATTCATCCGATTTATTATATTTGTTACCCACAACCGTAATATGCACTCCGTAACAACGATATTCAGGGAAATATATCAAATACAGCTCAGAAATATCTTTGCCAAATTTTATCGAGATCGGTTCAGATTTGGATATAGCTCCCATATATATCTTTATCCGATTTCAAACTAATTGTGCACCAAATGGGCAATACAATTCCGAATTTAAAAGATACAAATGCTTCGGCATATTTAGTCCTTTGAACTTTAAATTATAATTATAATCATAGCGTGTATGATTGAATTCTCCCATAAAAACTTTTAATTGTTATGTGGAGCTCTACTTAATTAGCAAAGTGGTGTAGGGTATCATGAAGTCGGCCCCGCCCGACTTTAAGACTTTCTTTACTGGTTTTCTGTTGCGTTGTATGTTCTGGTACTTTTTGGAATTTCAAGGGGTTTACCCCGAGCTCATTTTTCAATATTTGCCGAATGGAATATTGCGATATGTTCAGCTCACGAGCCATTTTTCGGCCACTGTCACGCGGATTTCGATAAAGTCGCTTCTTTACTTTTCGAACCATTTCTGCTAATGTTGCTGTTTTCTTCCGTGTCCGTCTCCGTCCACTTCCTCGACGTGGGGCTACGCTACGAGACACAAAAGATTTATTCACATTTAAATGCTGGACTGCTCTTTTGGGTTTCCAAATATAAAGAAATCACACTATCACGCTTGGATTCCATCACGAATAACTTTTTTTCTGGAAAATTCTCACCAAAATTCTTTTGTACGCTTTTAAACAATATAATGAGCTGTCACTGGAATAATTTAACAGTTGTCGGACGAGTGGCTTAGAAATGACAGCAGTCTGAAGTTGGTTGAGGTTTTTTATTTTTATTTAGATTTTTAATATCTATCGTAGAATTTGTTGGCGAATAATTTGACTTGCTACGATCCCGTCAAAAAGACAGTGCTGCATCATGTTTTGAAAAAAAGAACCAAAAATACCACTTTTGTGACACGTTTGAGGGTTAAAAATACCCACCAAAATAATCTGCTATACAGGGTTGCCCATATTCGACGGACGCATCTGGCAACGCCATAACTTTTGACAGAGATGTCAAATCGCTTAATGACATACCGCGTTTGAAGCGTCAGTCCAAGCAGATTTTTACCATGAACCAATACACGCCACGCGAGCGCTCTGCAATAGTTGATATTTACAAGAAGACAATTGTGAAAACTCAACGTGCTTTTAAAACATTAAAAAATGCGAGAAGTGCGCCTTCTAAGAACACCATTAAGCGTTTATACGAAAAATTTTCGACTGGTAAGGCTCTTTCTAATACGAAGAGGCCATATAAAAGTCGACCAAGGCGATCGGCCGAGAATATCGCTGCCGTACGAGCCAGTGTTGAGAGGTCCCCAAGAACATTCCGAAAACGCCGTTCTCAGCAGTTGGGCATGGCTCGGTCCACTTTACAACGGACTATTCGCATTGATTTGCATTTGTTCCCGTACAAAATTCAATTGACGCAAAGAATGTTGCCTGCAAACAAGCCTCGTCGATTGGAATGGGCCCAAAAAAAACATGGGTCTGTCGAATATGGGCAACCCTGTACCGTCGACAATAACAAATTGATAAATATTTAAATATAAAAATGTAATAACATATAAATAAAAAAATAAAAATAATATATAAATAAGTTAAAAATAATTATAAAATAAATAATTTTTTATATTGAAAATTTCACTTATTGCAGATTCAAAATTTACCTACTACAGATTATTATATAAAAAATAACTAAACAATTTTTGTCTTCAAAAAAAAATCCTAATATTTATTTTTCGAATA